TTGTGAATCAAAAATCTTTGACAGTTGATTGTTTAAACTTCTATATAGAACAACTATAGATGGACTTGGAATTAGGGCGTAATAGCTTTTGTAAACAATAACCTTCTCTCGATGTTTTCTAAGAATTCAAGGCAAGCCCACGCAAACCAACATAACCATTGGGTAGGGGAAGTCTTCTCCTACCCGATGGGGATGTTTATTTGCGTAGACGAACCTTGACTGTCTAGAAATCATCAAGAGAAGTCATTGATAACAAAAGCTGTTACGCCCTAATTCCAGCTCCATCTAGAACTGGTGCAAGTTTGATCAAAGTAGTCGATCGCGTTCAGAAATAACGTCAAATGGAACTCGAAAGAAAAAAAAATATTGTGCACAAACACCTGGAAAACCCAGAGTGGTCCGGTTCCAAGCTGGCTAAAGTGCTGAAGATGCCGAAAACAACAGTTTGTCGAGTGGTCAAAACCTACAAGGAAACCCTGAGTGTGGAAAGGAATCAGCGGACCTACGAAAAAACTGGAACCAGGGATCGTCAGCTGCGCAGCAAGGTGTTGTTGAGGTGCGTTAAAGCCAACCCCGGTCTTTCGATCCGGGATGTGGCCAGAAGGTACAACGCCAACTTTCAAACGTTGCGGAACATCATTGCCAGGGAAGGATATAAGTCGTACATCCGAACCGGCACATGAAGCAGAATTCCATGGCCAAAAAGCGTGCAAGGCTCTTGTACGACCGTGTTTTGACGAAACACAAGGGCTGCACTTTGATCGTTGACGAAACATACGTCAAACTCGATTTTAAGCAGCTTCCCGGTCAAAAGTTTTACATCGCGACTGGACGTGGGGATGTGCCGGGAAGATTCAAGTTAGTGTTTTCTGACAAGTTCGCCATGATTTGGCAAGCGATTTGCAGTTGTGGCCTGAAAACAGAACCATTCGTCACATTCTCGACGTCTCAAGTTTACATCGAAGAATGCCTGGAGAAGCGTGTATTGCCCAGCTGGGTGACATGCCGCCATGTTATTGAAACCAACATCTGAAACGTCACAATTCCAGTGTGAACTGCAAAAATGGCGTGACTGAATTGTCTTATTTTTATCAACTGAAATTATTTTCCCTTTTATGCCATATAAATGGTTGACTTCGTGGTAGAAAATTAGAAAATAATATTTTATGAGTCCTAAGTTTATTTTTCACAAAATGTAAGCAAAAATATTAAGAATATCCATAATATCAGTCACGCCTTTTTTGAAATTCTGGCTTGAATCTTCTATTTGTTTACAAATTATGAGCTGTCAGTGGGGCCCACGATTCGCGGGCCCGCAGCGATGTTAGCTCTTTTCAAGGCAAGGCAAACAAGATAGGGATGCCACCCAGCTGGTATTGCCGTTCATCCGCAAGCATAGGGGCAAAGTCATCTTTTGGCCCAATTTGGCCAACTGCCACTACTCCAAGGTGTTTCTGGAGTAGTATGCTGCCAACAAGATCGATTTTGTCCCCAAGCTAATAAATCCTCCGAATTGCCCGGAATTTCAACCAATCGATAAATACTGGGCAATTTCAAAGCAGCGACTTCAACGAAGTGGCGGGGCAGTCAAGGACATTCAACAAATGCGGGAAAAATGGAAGAAATGCACTGATTCCGTGTCCGTTTCCACTGTGCGGGCGCTGATGGGCTCCATCAAGAGGAAGGTTCGAGGTTTCGTTCAAACTGCAGGAATGTAACTATTTAATGCTGTTACTTTTGAGTTTTAATAAAAGCACTGTAAAGCAACCATTAATGGACTTTTTGAACTTATTGAATCACGTATTACAGGTCTTTTTGTAAGAATCAATTTATTTTTAGTCAGTCTTTAGTCTTGTCAAAGCATCCTCTCGGACTTCGCTTTAAATTCTCTACGTAATTTATTTGGATTTCTTCTAGAATTCACGTCAAAACTTGTCAAAAATTCTTCTTGGAATTTACTTGTAATTATCTTCAGAAATCATTTGAAAACTACGTATTTTGATCTCACAACTACAGACTGCACTCCAATGGGTCAAAGATTATCCGAAATAATAATCTATGTATCAAATAACAATTTTGGTTCTATCATACTGATAGACCATAATTAGGTAGACCATAATTTAGACTAGGACTTCGATGATAAAACTTGTAATGTTATTCAGGGTATTTCACCATGGTTGGTAGACTGATGCAAAATTCAAAATTTTCACTCCACAGTGCTCAAACGGTTCCAAATTGGGCCCTGATTAGCCTCCCAAAATTTGAACTCATTTAGTAAAAAACTGACTTGGCACAAACCATTTGAAGTTTATATAGAAATTACTATGGAGAAACCATAATTTCGGTTCATATCAATCTCAAAATTCACTAGTTCACTCTGCTTTAGAAAATGATAATTGAGCTTGTTGAAAATTTTCTCAGCTACAACTCTGTTGAAGACCACTTTTCGATCAAATGTAAGGAACAAAAATTATTAAGGATTCAAGTCACTGATGTCTTATGATTATGCTCAATCAACTGTTCAGCAGGCAACATTGGTGTTTATGGCGTGTAGAATAGAGGACAAAAATCATGGCTACTATGTCACACTGCAGAATACAGTGTTGCCCACAATACAGTTGCTTAATCTTGCCATAAGATTATCAATCTCTTAATCAATTAATAACTATTTCATTTGACGTTTGGCTGAAAAACGATTTTCTGCAAAGTTTTAGCTGATAAAAATTCCCATAAGAATAGCAATAGAATTTGTTAACAGTACAATATGTAAAAAGGCTAGAAGACAATGAACAAAAAGTTTTGTTTTCCCATAGTAATTTCCATATAAACTTCAAATGGTTTGTGCCAAGTCAGTTTCTCACTAAATGAGTTCAAGTTTTGGGAGGCTAATCAGGGCCCATTTTGGGACCGTTTGAGCACTGTGGAGTGAAAATTTCGAATTTTGCATCAGTCTAATGGTTAGCTGTTTCCATTAAACCGGAAAAAAAATATATTAGACAACCGGGAAAAACCGAGAAATAGCCGGGAACTCAATCCAGTGGCCACCCTGAATAATCCACTAAAAAGTTCTTAGAATTCTTTTGGAAATTATCTTTGCATTGCTATAAAAGCTTTCATTAGAACTCCATTAGAAGTATCCGCAGAATTCTTTGGAATTTTCCTCCTTGAAACACGTCTCTGAATTCCCTTGGAGACTCTTCTCAGAAATCTCTTTGAATTCCCCCAGTATTACCTTTAAACGTTTTCAGAAATTCCTTTAAATTCTTTTAGAAATTCCTTTGAAGTTTTAAGAATGCATTTGGGGTTCTCCTCTCCCCTCGGCATACTCTTAGAAATTAATTCGATTTTTTTATTGTAATTCGCGTGGAATTCTTCCCGGAATTCGCATGGAATTATCCTTGAAATTCCCTAGAATCTCTTCTATGAATTTCCTTGAATGTTTTTCCGGAATTTCCTTGGAACTTTTATCCTCAGTATTACCAACCGGTGGCAACTAACGATTTTAAATTGTCTCACTACTTAACTAGCCTATTGGTCCCAAGCAAATCGATTAATGTACCCCATTATAGTCGAAATTCTAGTACTACACTATGTTTGTTTTGATTCGCTATGAAAGTTTGACAGATAAAATGAGGGGTTCGTGGATTTTCCTATGTTTCGAGGGGTTAATCGATTAGCTTGGGACCGAAGATAGTACCAGAGCTGAGCCAAAAAGTTGAGCTCGTTTTTTCGGGACCTTCTGGTCTTAGAGTTACCTCTATGGTATTACCTTGAAATAGTCCAACAAATTTCTTGTAGAATTCCGGTCGAACTCTTATGGTGTTAAGCTCCAACAGGTATTATCTTCTGATTAAATATCGATCAGGAAAGTCGGGTTAGTATACCAAGTATTACAAGTTAACCCGCGCTGGAGCTTACCAGCATTAGAGTCATCTGGGGGTTTTTCTCAGTATTCCCCTGTAATGTTCCCAGTAATTCCGGAGAATTCTTTTTTGGGATTTCTTTTGTATTATTCTTGGATTTATATAGAATCCTCTCCTTAGAATTCCTTTGGAACGTTGCTCAGAATTTGATTCCTTTGAAATACTTCTTCGGACACTATAACTCAAACATCTCTTCAGAATTCTTTTCGAACTCTTTGTATTAATTTTGACTTCTCCACACAATTCGCTTGAAATTCTCTTCATAATTTCCTTGGCATGTTCTTAGAAAATCATTCGAAATTCCTTGAAATCCTATTCAAAATTCTCCTCTGAATGCCTTAGGAACTCTCCTCCGAATTTGGTTCCTATGGAATCCTCAGACAGGTACATCAGAATGCTCCCAGAAAATTTATTTGAAATTCACTTCTTAATAATTTTTAAATTCTTAGAATTCATATGGGAATCTCCTCATAATCTGCAGGGAGTTATCTTTGCAATCCCCACTGTCTCGACTTCCCTGGGCATAGAAGTATGATTGGACTTGCCACACAATTATACCGATGCAAAACTGGTACAGGCATCGAAAGCTATCAATTAATAACTTTGGTGTGCATCTAAAACACTAAGTTGAGAGCACGCAATAAGCTTATATGCGATATGCAATAAGCTTGAAATGCGAAGAAGAAGAAGAAGAAGATCGTTCCGGGGAATGCTTTCCAGTATATGATTTTCCGGTTCGCTCACCAGAATAGATTTATTTAGTAAACTTATAGTAACATCACCGACAAACCGACATGAATGACGATAGCAAAAACAATAAAATTTCTGACCAAAGCACACTACTGACATCTGGCTCCATGTTTGCGGGAAATATTTAGCATAAGTCATGAACCCGCATGCAAAAGTTATGAATTGGTTCGTGTCTGATCTATTCTGGACAAATTATTTTTATCTAGATCAAAAAATTCTATGGTTTTGACAGTTCGGATCACTGCACATTTAAATCGGCCGTTTTCGATTTTCGGGCATAAGTCAGAATTAAGTGTCATGTCGGTTTGTCGGTGGTAGCATCATTACCTTCATCGTAAGCCTGTACGATGGTGAAGAATATCTGCACTACGACCCATAGGATGTAGGATATCGCGTTCGTCAGGAACCACCAAATGATTTTCAGTGGCTGAAATCAAAAGCAAAAAAAAACATATGAAATCATCTTTACCCATAGATAGATAGAACCGATAGAAGTACGAACCGTCTGGATAATGTTGCCCAGATTGATGATGTTCTTCCCCATGAAGCACACCGCCTGGTAGTCGTAGATGGTCACGTTTTTGAACATGCCATCGTCGATCAACCGTTGCATAAATGCAGGCTTCACTTCGCCGAAGAACGCCCCCGTCTCCTGCAGTTGTTCGCTTATCACCACGAATCCGTTGTTATCGATCACGTAGCACTGGAAGTCGCCCGTGAAGCACGTCTTCTCGCACGCGTGGTCACTGCACTGGCTGGTGATGTTCTTGAACAGGGCGTACATTGCCGAATGGTGAAACTGGAAGCCAACAACGGCCACCGGTGTCTCCTTGCCGCCGTCCGTGTGGAAGATTGCAGTGCTAGCCGTCACCAGGGTATCGTTTCGGTTCCCGGCATCGAACGGGACCGAATAGACGAAGCTGGTCTTGTCGCTGTCGGTATCCTTTCCGTTGCTGCCGTCCTGGCTGCGCTTGTTCTTGTTGTTGTAGTAGAACTCCACGGCTCGCTTGTACCAAATTTCATCGATAGCTCGACTGTGGGTTTCACTAAAGTCGGGCCTGGAAAGTACGATGATATATTTGAATAATCACAGATAGGAGGGGATTAACAAGGAAAATCAGGACTTTCTTCTACGGTTACGAAATTGTCTTATAGTATATAGGTTATCCCTTTCCTCAATAAAAGAAAACCTGGCATATTACATATCTTGATAGAGCTGGAATTAGGGCGTAACAGCTTTTGTAAACACTTTTTTCTCTCGATGATTTCTCGAAACTCAAGGCATGCTTACGCAAACCAATATAACCAACGGGAAGGGGAATTCTTCCCCTATCAGATGGTGACGTTGATTTGAGTGAGCGAGCCTTGGCTTTCTAGAGATCATAGAGAGAAGTCAAAAACTGTTACGCCCTAAATCCAGCTCTATCTAGATATATTACCCACACCCCCATACTTACTCTGCTTGCTTGGACTCGTCGCCAATGTTCATGTGGTCCTGCCACCTGGTAAGCCCACTGTGGGTCGCCAAGAAGGAAACGGTAATTCCGAATCGTTGCTTGAACTCGTTCCTACGCGCATCAGCAGGCCATGTAAAGAGAATCGGAAGGAGATCAGAACAGAAACAAACATTGTAGTACCGGACTCGCAAATGGCTCATCAATGTCAGCAAACGATTAAGTTCACGTGTGACGATTTCTACACAAAGTCCACCCGTACGCTAGCAGCTTAATTACCTTGGCAACAAACCCATCAAAACTGCAATTGGGCTAGGGCTATTCCATGTGAGTGAAAATGATCGAAAAATAAACAAATCGGAACCATAAAGAGAAAACATAGGATTGTGTGCATGGCATCCAAACCATGGTGCGGTTCGTTCAAGCGATATTAGCGGTTAGTGGATTAGAAATTGCATGTGGACACATTGGATAAATTTACCGGTGCGTAAAATGAGTTTCGTGTTAAATGGAAGGGAAAAAAGAAATTTAATCATTCAACTTGTAGCTTCATTAGTCACGCTCTGGCCTTCAAAATTGGTAAATATAAAACAAAACCTAAAACACAATAGTGCAACTACTGGAAAATAAAGGGCACTTTTTGGTTGGCTTCGTCATAGCAATAAAACTTACTCTTGTTTTTCGTCCTTGCTGCCACTGCCGCCGCTGGTGTTTTTGGAGTACCATTCCGTCACCTTGGCATCGAACACCAGGGCTTGCATTAGATTGCGATCGCCTGCCGCATGGGTTGAGATCAAAAGAAACCGAACATGGTTAGGGTACGGAACCTTTGTGACAACATTTACTATCTTTACTATCATCGAAGATATCATATCAAGAAAACTGGCAACTTTGCCAGAATCCAAGCGACAGGTAGAGTAGCGCTAGACAAACCATTCTTCTTAACTAGGTTGGAATCTTTGCTATCTACATCGTTCGGAGAATTTGCCTATGATTGTGCCTGTCTCATAGCGATCGTATGAGAAAACGGGCGAGTTGTCAGTCTTCTTGATATGTTGTCTTTGCTATTATTAAACTAAATTTGGTGCTGTTCGTTATATAGGTGGTGATAGTGGTGGTGGTGGTTCACACATATCGAACACAAGATGGCGAAAACAATGGGATTAGGCGAGTATGGATAATGGATGTGCAACTGTGGTGAATATGGTGAATTAGAGGGGAACTGGTGAATTACACAACTATGGGAAACGATTAAGTGCTTCGTGATTTCCGAGTGGTTACACAATAGGTGCATGCTTTTTGTTGGTTGATTGAAACAATCACAATTCCATGAATAACATAACGTAATCATAAAACGTGGTCTGTGGATTAGATGTGTGGTAGAACAACACAAGAAGAGTATACACACTGCAGTGAATAAGGTTGTAGTAGTAGTAGTAGTAGTGCATTGTTCGTGTTTCGTGTTGTGGTATTGTAGAAATGTGATTAACTGTTGAGGTTCCGTTTGTGTGAAGAGCATCAAAAGTGTTAAAACTTTTCGTCGATTTACATCTTCGGAACTAATAGTCCATTTTGTGAAGTTGTGAATGAATTAAATTGCACAGAGCTGCTGATGACATTGCTAAAGATTGTTTTTGATGATTTAAAAATGGCCAGCCAAATTTTACAAGTAATCACAACAATCAAACTCTTCGGTGAGTCGCTGGCCTTTCGTTAAGTAGATGTTACATCAAAAATATCCTTTCTTTCCCCGTAACGGAGAAGATGGGCGTGGCCGGCAATGGTAATTGTCATGCTATTCCTGTCCTGAACTTTGTTTATAAGAGCTATTCACTCCCAAATAGTTTTCCTTAAGCAACCAGAATAAGAACATTAAAATAGATACACGACAGTTGCCAGTATGCAATCTACGAAATACTCCGTTGCAAACTTCTTCTTTTTCTAGGCTTTTTTCACCTCTTTTTCCTGAGTTCCGGCAATCTAAACTTATGTAGTTTTCGTTTTTGCACCGGTGTAGTGTAAGCAGGAATAAGCGCGAGTCTTTGACAGCTCAACATCATTTGTTTGTAAACAAAGGTGCATCCTATATCTACACCCTAAATTATTTCTGTGTACGGCAGTGTAGCACCGGTGTAGTTACACCGCAAAAACGACATTAGTGTTCTAGACACGGGGGCAACAATTACGAATTTCGGCGGAGCTCACATAAATGTGATGAATAAAGTGGGTGAGGATCAATGAGATGGATTACCGAGGTGAAGCAATCGGTTAAGTTGTGTGAGTAAAACCCCTGTACGATACAAGCAATTAGTGACGTCACTACTTGCGTTTACGTTGATTTTTGGTTTGCTAATACAACCATATTTCACGATCTGCTTCACCTCTCTCTGTACCTCATTGGGTGAGGAAGACTGCAACAGACTGCTCTTTCTAGCATTTCGCAATGCGATGCAAGTGTGAAAGAGTAAGCTGCTTTGTACTGTCATACCTTCGTCAGTTTTACCGCTGTCAGTTTGCCCAAAAGTGTCAGGTTGTCCAAAAATGACAAAATCATGTGAGCTATGGTGCATCTATATGTGGTTGACAGGGATAGAGTCCCCCTGGTTCTAGATACACTTCCACAGTTATTAATTGAGAGCTTTCTATGCCTACCAATTGTATATTGCATGGCAAGCCTAATTATACTCTACGCACAGGGAAGTCGAGAAAATTGCCAACCCGAAAGATTTCCTAGATCGGACCGGGAATCGACCCCGGTTAATGTTCAATATTTTTGACGTAGGACTACGCCTGTGGATTTCTATACGGGGGTTCACTTTGGGAAAACCGAAAATGGAAAATGTAACAAAATTATGAAAGATTTTAAACGTTAATAACTCAGCTGCTCCTGGACCAATTTCAATCAAGGTTGCAAAGACTCATTTCAGCTAAAACAATGTTTTTCTAAATTATGAAATAAATAGATGCCTTGATCAAATTTTGAATTGGTAGGATACAAGAAGAGGTTGCAAAGAATGTGTTTGACATGTTAAACCTGTTTATTTCACTTCATGAGAGTCACAATCAGCGATTTTTCACAAACTCACTCACTCACTCACTCAGCGATCAGCAAATCGCTGATTGTGACTCATAGAAAGCAAAATTTACAGGTTTTATGTTTCAAACGCATACTTTGTAACCTCTTCTTGTAAGTTACAAGTAAAACATGCCATCATACCATCTTTTGGTTTTATTATTCCGAAAAACATTATTTTAGCTGAAATGAGTCTTTGCAACCTTGATTTCAATAATTGTATCACCAATCGATCAGAAATATTCTTATGCATCTGTTAAATTTAAGACTGTATAATTTTTTAAAATATCACTACTGAAAATTGCACGAATGTGCAACTGTTGCTATGATAATTAAAATTATCTTCGATTGCATGCGAAAAGCAATTTCCCTAGCACAGATTTCAACGAGGGGGACGACTCTATCTACGATGCAGAAAATATTGTGTTTTGCTGTAGCTAGCTGCGCGCACGCTGAGTAGATAGAAAGAAGATTGATGACGATTCTGAAGATTTCCTGCAAAAAGATGATGCGCGATGCAAGTAGATGCGCGAAATGAAAGAAGATTTTTCGAAGATTAATTCACTAGTGTGAGCATCTACAATTGAGATTTAGATGTGTCGCCCCCCTCGGATTTCAAAGTTGAATTCCATCCGGTCTCACCAAACGGTGTTTATTCAGACACCGCGTGGTGACTGGTGGTGTTCTCCAGTACACAACGAAAGGCTACCTGCAAGCAGCGTGCTACAGCACACATGAGCATCCACGAAGAAGGAAGAAGCCGCACCGCTATTGATCGAAATCAGTAGCTCTTCGTGAGTCACTGTGGGCCATCTATGTCAAGCGCGTCACACTAAAGAGTATAAACAGAGAGAACCCCGCTAAAATTCCTATTCCTACACAAAATACAAGCTCCTGCTGCAGTTAGCAAATAAGATTTATTTTATAAGACCACGTAGTCCTACGTCACCATGGCGTACAATTCCATAGGGCTGTCCCTTGTAGTTTTTTTTACTTTAAATGATTACCTTGGCGGCCCTGGAATTTATTCGTCGCAATACGGAAGAGATGAACTAGCCTTAGGCTAAAAATCTCTCTAATAAAGGAAAAAAAAAAAAACGTCGAATACAAGTGGCTTCATCGATATATATGCTCTCAATGCACTATACTGTTCAATTGTTCGAAGCATCATGGAATATGCTGTTCGTGTATGGTCTCCATATGATGCACAGCAGATCATGAGAAAGGAAAGGGTTCAACGTAGCTTTATAAGGTATGCTCTTCGACAACTTCCGTGGAATGATCCAGTAATTCTTCCTGACTATAGCCGTTGCAGACTTATAGACATGGAAACTCTAGCTATTTATGTTATTTGTATTCGATATTGTTAAGGTTAACAAGGTTATTCAAAATTGATCATTCTTCTGTATGATTGGATAGTTCAATCGATGCCTACATGTTGTTTTTTTTTTTTTTTTTTTTTTCTTTATTTTAGAGATTTTTAGTCTGAGGCTAGTTCATCTCTTACCTACATGTTGTTCTCATTTTCGAATAATTCGAACATGTGTTGCTTCTACAGAACTTTTGGACTTTTAATCGTCTTTCTGTATTTACAGAGGGTCTACTCATTTGACTAAATAGAATTCCCTGATTTTTCCAGAACTTTAACGGATAATTTACAGATTTATAATAAGAAAACTATTTTTTAGATGCGTTAAAATATGCTTTTTATGATGTTTAATATTGATTTAATTTGAGTAATTCTAGGACCTCAAAATATGCTATGTTCTGAAGATACGTTTTCCTTGCACAAATTTAAGATATTAAAAATTTTGAAAGTGCCAAAATCAAGGAAAAACAATTATTGATTTGAAGTTTGTAAATAACGTTGTGAACGATTAGAGATCTTCAGTCCCATTAACGTCACAACAATTGTAGGAACTTTACAAAAGTTCTGAGAAATAAAAGGAAATGCTGATAATTTCACCGAATAAAAACTTCGGGGACATACGGGAAGTTAACATCCTGAAAATATGGGGAACTTACTTGAAGATTTTAGAACCACTTCTGTTAGCTTCTGAGGAACTGCAGGAACTTTTAAAAAGTGCCTAGAATGTCACAGAACTTCTCCGATGCCAAGAGTACTTCAGAAATAAAGAGAACTTGAGGAAAGTTATGGAAACTTTGAAGAAGTTTTAAGTACCTCAAAAAAGTTAAATATAGAGATGTTTTGGGAATTTCAGGGATCTTAACGGCAGTTCCTGTAACTTTATTCCAGATTTTTTTGAGGTAGTTTAAAGATCTATAAGAGTGAATTTAGCTAAATTCAGGATAGTTCCATGATGTATAAAAAACATCGAGAACCCTTCAGATATTCCGAGAATTTCAGGGAAGTACGGAGACCTTGAGATAATCACTGGAAACTTCAGATTCCAGAAATTCGAGTAACTTCATTGAAGCCCAGAGAATTTGAAGGAAGTTCAAAGGTGTTTACGAAAATTCATTTTTTTTTCAGTGCAGTACCGAGATTTTCGAAAGAGTTGAGAGCTTCAGGGAAGCTCCGAAACATCCAGACCAATCAGAGAATCAAAGTGCAGTTCAAATAATGTCATGTAAATTGTAGAAACCTTAAAGAAGTTTCGAGAAGCTCAGGGAATTTCCGGAGCAAAACTACGAGAGAATTTCTGGAACGCAATAAGGAGTTAAAGGAGGAATTTCAGAAA